ATAAATCAGGAGTTTAGGAGCTTCTCCAGGTTTCTGTAAGTACCAGGCTAACAAATCATCAGAACCATCATTGTACACATCTGTGCTGGTTCTACAGTTGATTTTGACTGTTTCTTCTGGTTGAGCTGCTGTCGTTGAGGGACTCTGAGTGACGCTGATCTGTCCTCTACTCTCTGAAACACACAACAAGAAGAAAATCAACTCAAAACTTTGACAATATACTTGAAGAAATTAATTCATATCAAACTTGTGCTCCACAAACCTTGAGCAAACGCTGTGAGAGTCCAGATGAAGATGATGATGAAGGTCATGTTGATGAAGATTGTTGTGTGTGTCAGTGATGAAGTGTTAAACTCACAGCACTATAAACACTCTCAGAGCACTGAAGCATCTGATCAATATGCAAACACTCCACATCATTTACCTGAAAACAGCAGATGCACCCATTTACTATTTAGTATCTTTAATTTCTTCTTTCCATTTTCAGAAACAAACACTCATGATTTACTGCATGTTATTTAGTTATTTATTTCGGGATGAGCTTCTCCCTCCAAACACTGTTTTTTGATAAGTTTCAATCAGTTTTTCATGCTGAGAGCATTTAATACCTGTGTTACAGATTTGATGTCATCCATGATAGGCCTAGTATGATACTGTATAACAGGTCAAAAGTCATTCAAGGGAATCACCATCTAAATCTTGCTAAAGAGTTCATTGCAAAGCAAGTAAATAGAATTAGCAAAGTTTAAATAACAGGTGTTTTGTAATGAATTTTGGGACTGATTATGAAACAAATGATTTGACTTCAGCCTTAATGCAATAACAAGGATTTATTATTTAAGATGAACATTTTGTACTGCTGCTTTTGAATAATCCATGTCTGATGTTGAGTCTCATATCAGTGTGTGTGAGTGTCGTGGAGTTTGTGTTCATTTGAGTGTGACGGAGGTTTTTGTACGACTCTTTCACTAGAATGAAGCACTGTGCTACACTTTTGGTGGAGGAACTAAACTGACCATCAGAAGTAAGTCTTTCTTAAATTATCTAATATAAATATATAATGTGTGTGTGTTTTAAAAGGAGGTTTAAGTTTATATAAGAACATTTAGCAACAATATTTCTAATTTTATTGTAAAATTTCATTCTATTTTATTGATTGATTGTACCTATGAATGTATTTAATTACTACATTTTGTCTGCTATATTATGTACAAGTCATATTTGGTGATATTCAGTATTTTTCCATTTCAAGCCAAAGTTCATATTTGTACTTAATATTTTACATTAGTAATTTCACATTTTTTATGCTAGCAGTTTGATATATTTTAATTAATGGCAATGTTTTTTATGAATTCTCAGTTATTTTTTAAAATATTTTAATTTGTGCATGACACAAAAGCTGGATAACATAGACAGAATATATTTAATTTCACGAGTCAAAAAGAAATTTAGCTGATAAGCCTTTTAAAATGTATTATTTAAACTATAAGTTTACATATAATTATCTTTATGAGAAAATGTCCTGAATGTTGACTATTTTCAAAATAGAAATAAGAGTTCAATTTGTTTCCTAAATCCTAAAACAATACCACAAAAATGATCAATTTGCACTTGGTCAGAGATATTTTATAAAATCTTTTTAAAAACTTTACTTAATTCAGAAATAATAGCATACATTTTTACAGTATATCATGTTTGCTTAAGAGAACTAATTTATATTTATACAGTATGTTGTACTTGATACACTGTAAAAAATAATAGTAAAAAAACAGCAGCTGTGATAGTCAGACTTGTTCTTTCACTTTCAAAAACTGCATTCAATATTTTACTGTAAAATTACATGAAATGTCCTGTTAGATTTAGTACAGTTTTTCACTGTATATAGTGAAATATAGAACTGTATATAGAACTTACTGTTAACCAATTAACAGTTTTTCCCATATCATTTTTCAGTCTTTTGCCATTAAAATTATGATCGTTTTTACATTTCTTAACAGTACATTTAATTGTTAATAGCTAATGGAGAATATTTTGAGACTTAATTCAGGATATTTGTGTTATATGAATGAAAGCAGTGATGTGGAGTTACAGTAAAGATGAGCTGATTGCCTTCACAAAAGTTTCAGCTGCTGTTGATGGATTGTAATAGTTGAGAACAGCTGCGTTTAGCAGTAAATGTGAACTGAAGCTCTTGGGGTTTGAACATGGTCTCTGGAGACGGAGCTGCTCTATTCTGAGACGATCAGAATCACTAAAGCTGCCAATGCAAATCTGATTTTCAGCTCAAACTCACAGTTTCACTGTTTTATTGGTTCAATGCTCTGAACTGGAACAGTTTCACTTCTGCTCATGTAGTGATGAAACAGTTATGAAGTTCGAGTAGTAGTTTTATAAAACAAGTTTATCAGGGATACATTTATAAGGAAGTGAGTGTTGTACAATCTACAAAAACTATAACACTGGAACTGAGAAAATTGTTGTGTGCTTTTTGTTTGATTAGATATTAATTAAAGGGGTCATATGATGCGATTTCAAGTTTTCCTCATATCAAACTTGTGCTGCACAAACCTTGAGCAAACGCTGTGAGAGTCCAGATGAAGATGATGATGAAGGTCATGTTGATGAAGATTGTTGTGTGTGTCAGTGATGAAGTGTTAAACTCACAGCACTATAAACACTCTCAGAGCACTGAAGCATCTGATCAATATGCAAACACACTCCACATCATTTACCTGAAGACAGTCACTCATTATCAGACACAAAATACAGTTACTGAAATAATCTTTCAATATTAGATCTTCTAATAGCCAAGCTGTTATAAATTCTATCAGATCATTCACTTCTGAGTAAATCTACAAGACCAACATTAGTATATTATCCTGACTGTCTCCTGTGAGACTTTGAGAATATTTTTGACTCACTGTGACTCTGACTGACGGAGGGTTTTGTACGACTCTTTATCACTGTGTGAACACTGGACCACTGTGGTGACTCTGACAGTAATAATGTCCAGCATCTTCAGTCTGGACTCCACTGATGGTCAGAGTGAAATCACTGTTAGATCCACTGCCACTGAATCTAGATGGAGTGCCAGTGTAGAGTTGTTTTGCATAACGAATCAGGAGTTTAGGAGCTTCTCCAGGTTTCTGTAAGTACCAGGCTAAATAATCATCAGAACCATCATTGTACACATCTGTGCTGGTTCTACAGTTGATTTTGACTGTTTCTTCTGGTTGAGCTGCTGTCGTTGAGGGACTCTGAGTGACGCTGATCTGTCCTCTACTCTCTGAAACACACAACAAGAAGAAAATCAACTCAAAACTCTGACAATATACTTGAAGAAATTAATTCATATCAAACTTGTGCTCCACAAACCTTGAGCAAACGCTGTGAGAGTCCAGATGAAGATGATGATGAAGGTCATGTTGATGAAGATTGTTGTGTGTGTCAGTGATGAAGTGTTAAACTCACAGCACTATAAACACTCTCAGAGCACTGAAGCATCTGATCAATATGCAAACACTCCACATCATTTACCTGGAGACAGTCGCTCAATAACAGACACAAAATACTGTTACTAATTAATTTTTCAATATGATATCTTCTAATAGCCAAGCTGTTATAAATTATATCGGATCATTCACTTCTGAATAAATCTACAAGACCAACATTAGTATATTATCCTGACTGTCTCCTGTGAGACTTTGAGAATATTTTTGACTGTAGTTGGATAGAAACATGACTGTTAATTCCTAAATTTTATGCCAAATCCATGGATGTTCCTGCAGGTTTTTAACAGACACGAGGATCATCACACACACGTGTCTCTGTCAATCACTGAATCAATGAGTTTGATTGTGAGTTGTGTCATGCATGATATATGCATATTAACACTATAAATTCAGTTTCATTCTTTATTAATGATACAGACTGCATAAATCACGTAAAGTAAGGTAATTTGTGCTGTGAGTGGATGTGTTTGTTGGAGACTCAGTTGATGTGTGTTTGTGCAGTTAGTGAAGCGTCCAGCAGGTTTTTGTTCAGCTGCTCTATTAGTTTGTATCACTGTGGTTCACTTTCGGCAGCGGCACCAAACAGGTGTGTTAGATAAGGGAGACATACAAAAGGTGCAGGGCAGGGGGTCCTCCAGGACAGGTTTGGGAACCACTGCATTGAAGATATCTTCAAGACCAACTTTAGTATATTATCCTGACTGTCTCCTGTGAGACTTTGAGAATATTTTTGACTGTAGTTGGATAGAAACATGACTGTTAATTCCTATATTTTATGCCAAATCCATGGATGTTCCTGCAGGTTTTTACAGACACGAGGATCATCACACGAGTCTCTGTCAATCACTGAATCAACTGAGTTTGATTGTGAGTCGTGTCACACATGATATAAAATATAATTTTTTTTCAGGTTCATTCAGTTTGATGCTTTAGTAATAACACAGACTGCATAAAGCAGATGAAGTAACTGAAGGTAATGTCTGCTGTGAGTGGATGTGTTTGTTGGAGACTCAGTTGATGTGTGTTTGTGCAGTTAGTGAAGCGTTCAGGAGGTTTTTGTTCAGCTGCTCTATTAGTTTCTATCACTGTGGTGGACTTTCGGCAGCGGCACCAAACTGGATGTTGGCAGTAAGTCAATCATCATTTAATATTATTAATACAGCAACTGAGTGTTAAACACTTTGTTACGCTAAAGAAAGGATGCACATTTTCGCTTATTTATATATCTTAATTTTATTTTTTAGTTCACACTGAATGTTTGGCAATCAACCTCAACTTAAATTTTCAGATTAGTGTGTTGATTTTTAAGTAAAACCTGCAGATATTTTAAAACTGGAAATAATGGTTGTTTAAGTGTTATTATTATTCTTTTTTTTTTTACAAATATTTGATAGGTTAATAATTTATAGTAGACATGCCAGACAAAAGTTATATTTTCTGTACTTTAAAAAACATTTGCACACAATCTTCTCATGCTGTCATCACAGACTGTAATGAACTCCTCATTTACCTGAAGACAGTCGCTCATTATCAGACACAAAATACAATTACTGAAATAAGATAAAAATGAATCTTTTTCATAATATTATATCTTCTAAAAGCCAAGCTTTTACAAATTGTATCAGATCACTCACTATAGAATTCATCTTTAAGACCAACATTAGTATATTATCCTGACTCTCTCCTGTGAGACTTTGAGAATATTTTTGACTGTAGTTGGATAGAAACATGACTGTTAATTCCTCAATTTTATGCCAAATCCATGGATGTTCCTGCAGGTTTTTAACAGACATGTGGATCATCACACGTGTCTCTGTCAATCACTGAAACAATTGAGTTTGATTGTGAGTCGCGTCACACATGATATAAAAGTTCATTTCTTTTATAAATTCAGTTTCGGTGGACTTTCGGCAGCGGCACCAAACTGGATGTTGGCAGTAAGTCAATCATCATTTAATATTATTAATACAGCAACTGACTGTTAAAAACTTTGTGGCTCTATAGAAAGGATACACTTTTCCGCTTATTTATATTTTAATTTTATTTTTAGTTTGCATTATATGTTTGGCAGTCAACATTGTAAAGATGATTTTATTGTCATGGCATCTTTCTTTTCATCCAGTGAACCAAAATAATTTCTGTTATTTCTTAATAACTTGATTTTATGAGTTTTCAGAGCTTCAGCTCTTTTTTTCTCATTGATAATTAAGTTCTAAATGTTAAAAAGGTGCACTGAAATCAAATGTACATAAGTCTGTCATTTTAGCACCACTTTGATTTTACTTGAAAATTTAAGACAGTAATTAAACTTACATTTTCAGCTTAATGTGTTGATTTTTAAACAAAGCATGCAGATATTTTCAAACTGGAAATTATGGTTGCTTAATTGTATTTTTGTTAATATTTGATAGGTTAATAATGTATAATAGACATGCGAGACAAAAGTTATATTTTATATTTAAAAAAAAAAACTTTTGTACCCAATCTTCTCATGCTGTCATCAAACATCGTAATGAATTCCAGCAGTTATTGTGTTTATTCACATCTGTTCTTTGATGCTTTTAATAAAAGTGATTAACATTGAAGTTGATAATGAAAATGAGTCTTCAAATCAATATAATTCACCAAACTTTCATTCCTTTGCTGATCGCCGGCTTTGTAAAAATTAATTCCAGTGACTTGCAGTTTAATATTATAAAAATGACTAATAAAACTATCACTGTATTAATTGTTCCTATATTTTTATGAAGCTGAAAGGAGAGAAATGCTTTCTTCTTCACTGAGTTGACTGTTGTGTGTTTGTCAGGCGTCACTCGTCCTAAAGTGAGCGTCCTGCCGCCCTCCAGTGCAGAGATCTCCTCAAAGAAGACAGCGACACTGGTGTGTGTGGCCAGCAAGGGCTTCCCGTCAGACTGGAGCCTGAGCTGGAAGGTGGACGGGAGCAGCAGGTCTCAGGAGAGCAGCGCTGGGCTCCTGGAGAAGGACGGTCTGTACAGCTGGAGCAGCAGCCTGACTCTCTCTGAGCAGGAGTGGATGGAGAGCGTCTCAGTGAGCTGTGAGGCCACACGGAGCGGCCAGCCTGCGCTCACTGGACACGTGACGAGACAGCAGTGTTCAGAGTAGATCTGCTGCTCTTCTCACTCATGTCTCACATGGAGACTAACAGCACATGAGCGACTCCTTCATTCTCCACATCCAGCTTCAGTCGCTCGCATCTGCATCTGCTCTGCTTTGTGTGCTTCATACAAGACTATATGTGTGCTTTATCATTCAGTTGTGATTCTATTCAAATTTGCTCAATAAATAAAATACAATTGTAACTTTAAGTCTTTGTGTTCTTTTTTGTCATTTTTGTTTTGGGTCTTTCTTTGGATCATGGCTTTAACT